CCTGACACCTCTGGGCCACCGTAGCAACAGCCTTCAGTATCAACATTTTTATTCACATATCACAACAAAAGGTGTAAAGAAGAAACCTATTGACAAAAACAAGGCCTACAATGAATATTTTTCTACACTGCAATGAGCAGATTTATGGCATTGATGCCAAGCAGAGATTAAAAAAAAAGGAGAAAAAAGATAACACATAAGTGTTCTCTCCTTTTAGGATAATATTTTCTCAAACACAAGCAAAAGTTCAGCAAAAGTGGAGGACAGATAGCTCAAAGGTGCAGGAAAAAGAGAGCAGCTCGCGTACAGTGACAAAGGGAGGAGCAGGAGAGGGCCATATCGGCACAGAGTGCAGAAGGGGGAAGAATTTAAAAAGTGAGTTTGTGATGTATTGGCCACAAAAGAGACTACCAAAATCCATGCATCCTCTTAATGGCATTTGCTCACCCAGAGTTCCTCCATCCTGCTGGAGACCCACAGCCCAGTCCAGCAGAATCTCCAGCCTGGTCTGCAGCTGCAGCTGGCAGTGCAGGCTCCTTCCCCAGGCCTGCTGGAGCTCCTTGGCTGCAGTCAGAAGATGATCTTGTCGACCGCTCCCTCTCTCACTGCCCTGATGGCGCTGCAAAGTTTGTTCTGATCCCCATTCTTCAGTTAGTGGCTTCAGGAGCTCCAATACTTTGAACATTACTGCCAGAACCTAATTAAGAAAAGTTTCACTCTCATTCATGTCAATGTGTGCCTCTTAACTACAAAAAGTTGTAGAAAAGAGGAAATTTGTTTGGTCAATTTTCAAATACAGTTTGTGCATCATAAATTTAATGATACATAATCTTTGGATATTTCCAACAGCACCTTGCAGTCTAGGAGAGCCTGGTATCCTCCAGCATTGGGGAGCATTTGCCCAGCTCGTATGCTGGCCCCTCCTACTCTCACCATCCGTCCACTCAGAGGTTCGATGATGGACTCAGCCAGCAAAACTCCACCTACTGGCAACACAGCTCCTACACACACAGAGAGAGAGAGAGAACAAAATTACCTCACTGGAGGTATAGTAACCTAAACACAGGTTGTACTGAAGACTCACCAGCAGCACTAACCTGTTACTGGATCTAGACTGATCCCAACAGTGAGCACAACATTCCCCGTCCTGGAGTCCAGCATGGGATAGCCAATCTGTATGGGTTGTGGGAGGCGGGTGAGGGGACAGACATGCACCCCTCCCAGTGGGTAGACTAGTCCTGTCTGGGGGTGGATGGTTACAGCCAGAATGGGCACTGGGACACCTGTGTCTGGGTCTGCCATGGGAACGCCCAGTTGCAGTCTTTGGCCCGGTCTGAGGCCCCTGAGTCTAATGCTTGGCAGAGGCTGGTCTGAGTGGCGGGAGGTTGGGTAAGGAATGAAAGGGAGGAGGGGACTGTCCAACTTCTTGTTGTCTCCTGTGAGTAAGAACGGTTAAAAAGATGGAAGCTCCTTCACAGTGATATGTCATCTGAGTGATCCTTACTGCATGCAATACAGTTTCTTTAGTTATACTTTTTAACCAATATTACAGTATTATTAATTGAATTATTCCACTTTTACTAATATGTACCTTTCAGTCAGCCACAGAGAATTAGTATGCTATATTTATAATAATCTAGTTTTAAAACTGAATATAATGTTTTATCATGTGTATTTATTCTTTATTTATAGTGTATATATTTATTTATTCGCAGTGTAAAGTACAAAAACATCCGCAGTATTTCAGCCACTCCGCAAACCCCACATATTACCTGTATAGGAGTCCGTTGTGAACACTAAAGTGGAGCTTGCAGGGTCATACGCCACATTGCCAGCTATGGGCATAACCCTGCCAGTCTGTGGGTGGAGGAAGAAATTAGGTGGCACTGCCATGGTGTGGCCGCTGCTCAGTAGCATATGGCTGTGAGCGCTTGGCCTTATGAGGCCTGTAACTGAATCACAATGAAGTGCCCGACAGTCACGCAGGGATCCATCAGGACCTAGAGTGAGACAGAAGGAGAAATGGCTGAGAGCAGTCATCAAACTGTAAATGATTGTGCTGACGATTTAAGCTGTTTTGAATGAGATTACAGTCGCATGCTGTGTCGACAGCTTTTCATGCTGATTTTTTCCTCAATGGATCACTGTAGCTTAAAAAATCATATTTCTCTATCATTAAGGTACAACTCTAACTCTCCTACTGGTGTTTTGTTTATAATGTGAGACCTTGAATAAGAGAAAACTTGAAAACACTGAAGTGAGTATTATTTGTAATTAGGACATCTCACCTGACCTCTATGATTAGACTTGTTTGATTATTTTGTTACCCAGAACTTGCAGCTATCATACAGCTGAGATTGTGGCATTGGGCAATTACATGACATAATGTATGGATGTGAAGTAAAGCCGGGAAAGTGTAGGTGTATTTTCAGAATGGAAACGTGTTTAAAGTAGTACATATGTTTAGCAGTAGAGGGTGCTGTTTCTCTAAGAATCAAGGACAGCGTTTTTGGAATATTTCAATCCTCAGGGCTATTGCACTCACCAAAGATGTGGTCCTTGGTCAGCACAGTTCCAGTGTCAGGGCAGAGCAGCTTGGCCCCTGTACCCTCACCCAACAACCCCCAGGCCCCCTGACGCTGGCACTCTGCTGACACCAGCTCTCCCATCTCATCCACCAGGGATGTTAGCCTCTGGATTAGACTGAAGATGGGAAGCAGCAGATTGAAAATGTGAGGGGATTTACTCAGCTCCACTTGTTGTTTGTGACACTTTGCAGAGGATAAATGTAAGCTTTACTTTTGCTGATGCAGTTCACAAGATGATTGGTTGTTGTTATAAACCTTGGAGAGTAGTCTGGTGCACTCCCTGAGCTGAGCTGTGAACACGCTGTGCACCCTCTGCTGGGCCTGCTGTTCTTGCCTCAGGACCTGGAGAAAACAACAAAACAGTCGGACTTAATATAACATGCTGACAGAGTTAAAAGAAAGATTAAAGTTGAAACGATTAGTCGACCTTTAATGAGCTATTTTGATAATGGTTTTGGTCATTTTTCAAACATTTTTCTATTTTCATCTTCTAAATTATGCAGTTATGCAGAACTGAATATCTACGGCTTTTGGAGAGTTGTGCTTGGGCTTTAGGAAATTGTGATTGGCATTTTTTTACCAATTCGGACATTTTGTAATGATGAATCAATTCATATCAATGAATAATCAGGAGATTAATTGACAATGAAAATAATTTTTAGTTGCTGCCCAACACATAAACACATCTTGTTATCTTTATCTTTCCTTTACCTTGTCGTTAGAGTAAATTCATTTTTTTCAGAGGGAAACCAGTTTTTTTTAATCATAGGAGTTGAGAAGGGAATGTCATGTAGAGTAAACCTGCAGTTGACTGTCGAACAGTGTCCTCAGCTGTGATGCCAGAGTCTTTCGTCGCACCATCTCCCTCTCCACCTCCCTTCTCATCCTCTCAAAACCCTCCCCCATCCTCTCCTCAGTGATCAAGCGTGGGTGGAGTAGCTCCAATTTCCCAATCACCCCCTGGTATAGCTCCTTTACCTGGGTACACACAGACACATATAAATACGAAATGACTGCCTGGCTATAGGTAGTAGTAATCAGATCACACATCTGATCTGAGCCCACCCCAATGTAGCTCGCACGCAATTAACACAAATGCAAGTTTGTGGAATGACACAGGGGTGCGAGATGTGTTATCTCCCGTTACATCTTTATCACCCCAGCTGTCCTGAGGGCTGTAACGACAACCTTTGTCTGCTACACTGCAGAAAGCAATTTGATTCTACAAACAGGAAGGACGCAGGAGAAAGGCGGGGGTGCGACAAAAAATAGATACATTGCAATGTGATACCCAATCTGTTTCTATAGAGGTGAACTTCACGAGTGAAGAAGGGACAGTACCTAGTGAAAAAGAAAAGGAGGGAAAGATACAAAGTACATGAAGTATTGGATTGAACCAATGTTTGTGAGAAATGATGGTAAATGACTGCTGTGTGGCTACAATATCTAATCTTGGAAAGCAAGGTGCTAGTCCTTCCCTCTTTACCATATAAACATATGTCTTATAATGTCAAACCATTGTTTTAAGAGGATTTGACAAAATTTTAATTTGAACATGAATGTGTAAATCAAGTTTCTATATGTCAGTGATGTGACATGTGTAGGATGTTTTTCTACCATTGGGACAGTGCAAAGAAAAGCTATTATATAAATTGTCTCCTGAGGCCAGTGGAGGAGTAATATTGGATATAGGATATAATGCATCGTTCTTTGTGCCAGACAGTCCAAGAGGGAGTACGTCCTCAAAGAAAAGAATTACATGCATCGGAGTGTGTGTGACAGAGAAGAGGGGGTATATGTCAATCCTTTCACATACTGTATATCTATTTACAACCAAGAGCCACAGACCTCAGTGGTGAGCTGTCCCAGCCGTGTGGTGACAGACAGACTCTGTTTGAGCAGCAGGCTGTAGAAGGTGTTGCTGCTGAATGCCTCCAGATCCACCTGGTGCTCATAATCCCAGAACTCCTCTAAGGTATCTGCACAGACTGCTAGCAAGAGAGCCAAAAACAAAGAGCGACAGAGAGATCAGTAGAATATAAACAACACATAAAGAATCTACAACCTCTCTCTCTCTCAAAGCATTGTTTTTAGAACGGGCATAATGTGCTGCCTGAGGAGCATCAATGAGCTAGATATACATTGCCCACCTATCTGCATGTTTTGGTACATCCACTCTAATGTTCATATGTGGTGTGGACATTTGTTAATGTATGCACATCAGAAGCTTTGATAAATTATTTCACTTTTTGTGGTACAAGCGAGGGCCAGTTGCAAGCTCTTTTTTTTTTGGCCAAAGCATTTTATAAAGAGCTGTCATAAGGGAGGAAATTTTATGTTCTTGTTCAAACAATAGCGTATGCCTTCTTTCTGACACTATTCAACAGTCAAATGATCAATAACTCTATGTAACAAGGTTAAATTCGTCTTCTTAAGTCCCACCCCTTTTGTACATGCCACGTGCTAGGCTCGTCTATGTGGAAAATACAACCAAATTTTGAAGATGGTTGAAAATTAAAGTGACATAGGCCTATATATAGTCACATGTTAGATTGCTAGTTTTGGCTAATGTCATTACCGATTGATGTAGATTAGCATTAACTAACTTAAAATGTGACTTTGTACTGTATATGTCACTTTTATCTTTCCAATCATCTTTTAAATAACATACACAAGCCTAGCAAATAGCATAGCGTATCTAAGTGGAGAAAAGGTGAAAGTTGACCAAGAGAAAAGGGGCAGGACATAGGAAGGGTCAATTGTAGTCATAAAGTACACTATCTCTGGATGATGGTATTTGAGGTTATTTCCCAAGTCCTGTGAAATTTGGACTGTTATTTTTACTGTTAGGATCTGCACGTGATATCAGGTGTATGGCAAGGGCACAGTAATTGGTTGGGTGGGAGCAATGCCCAGGGCTCACTGTCAGTCTGTTACATAAGATGTCACAAGGGTCTTAAAAGACCAACAAGACCAGAGTGTGTGTGTGTTATTTGTGCACACTGCATGTGTGTTCAATGTCATATTCCAGATGTGTGTATGTTTTAATGCATGTTACGTAACATATTGGCCTTTAGGCTTTCAAATGAATGAGCTGAGTGGTCGTGTGTATGCGCCTGTGTGTG